TTCCCTGAGACATGATGTAATGAATCAGCGGACAAATGGGAGTGAGCTCAGGGTCAGACCCTACCTGAGAACAGGCACAGTGTTTGAGTGCCATGATTTACAACCAGTATCACACTTCCCCCAAGCAAGCAGCAAACAGAACTCATGTGGAGAATCAGCTCCCGGCACCTGCAGCTGGCACAGCTCGGCTGGGCACAGGCCAGGGGCACACAGCTGGGCGCAGCACAGTGCTGGGGTGGCTCTGCCAGTCCCCAGCCCCACTGCTGGTGGCAGGGTCGGTCCCACCTCCATCCCACCCAGGAATGCCGGGGGCTGGAACAAACCCCAAGTGGCTTCTAAAGCCAGTGTTAACAAGGCACTGGGCAGCACCGGGGACAAAAGGGGGCAGCTCCTACTGAGAATCACCGTCCTGCAAAGGCTGATCTTTCTGACACCCCAGACACGTCCTCAGTGAGGTATGCCAGCATGTCCCAGACTCATTTCAGATGACATTACTGTTCATTTCCTCACGCAGAATCACTTGACAGCGCTTCCTCCTCTGTAATTTTACTCCCACTGCTCTTGACCAGAGATACTGACCCCAAGGCACTGCTGGACCACACAGCCATTTCAGCTTTCAGTTCTTTGCCGTCCTCTCTCCCTTGGCTCCCTTCAGTCCCATAGGAAGGTCACCACAGCTGTGCTCTGCAGCACCTCGTGCACCATTCCAGGTCATGAGGGGGCAGAGGCCGAAGTCCCATCCCTGCCGCAGTCATCACAGCAGCAGGCCTTCATGCTGGAGCTCCTGCAGATCCCTTGCCAGAGACCCCCACACCCCACCTGAGACTCAGTGTAATGCCACCGGATGGGGCCTGGTCTGCTCTGGCAGTGCTGAGAGAGCAGGGTGGGCTGCACACCACCAGCCCTCCATAAGGGCAATGGAGCCACTGCAACACAGCCCTTGTGCCTGGCACAGCACAGCACCACCAGCCTGGTGGCACCGCAGGGCCGGCACACGGCGCTGACACGGGGCCTGCAGGGCGCACAGCCTGGGGTGACCTCAGCCTCGTGCCTGTCTGTCCCATGCAGGCAGAGAAACAAAAGGGCCAAACCTGCAGTGCTTTAAAACCAAAGGATTGTGTTTCTAGTTTTTCTTTTAGAGAAGGAAAATTCAACATTTGTAAAGCTGTGAAAAAAATACAAAGGATAAAGTTTGCGTTGATATCAAAGAGGTATTCGGCTCAGAATAGAGTCTAAGGGAATGTTGTCGACAGTGTACCTATGGGACGGGCACGTGTGACCTTTGGAAGGCAGAGGAAAGCTTCCAAAGAGCAGCTCTGAGCTGCGTGAGCCCCACGAAGAGCAGTGACAGCACTGAGCTGCGCCGACTGCAATGGGGATTGGCAGCACAGCAGGGAAACACTGCTCTGCACGTAACACCAGCACACCCTTGGACTTCCTTCCATCTGCAGGCTGCTCGGCTTCACGGCCCTTCGTTCTGTCCTGAGCAGGTCAGATGCAGTGGGAAAGCAGTGCCAAAGCAGGCAGGGGCACGGCGGGCGGTGGGAGGGCTGAGCCCTGGGGCAGGGGCTCCACCACACCATCAGACCTCGTGCCCCCATCGCTGCTCCTCCCCACGGGATCCCCGGCCAACCCCTGACTTCAAAAGCAAAGACAGATACGCTTGGATGTCCTCACAGCACTGAAGTGAAAATCATGCATTTCCCATAACCTCAGCTCTTTAATCCTTGGCAAAAAAAAGAAAAAGAAAAAGCAGCCGATTCAGAGTATGTATGGAAGCTCAGATAAAAGGAAACCTTCGGGAGAATGATCTGCCGTTCTGCCTCCTGGCTCAAACTGAAAAGACTTAACCCAGGAAAGGTCAGCTTCCCAAAGGGAGATGTCAAGGCACCTACCACGCAACTGATGCCTCCGAGGCTTCCAAACCTCTCGACAAGCCGCCCAGCACTCACACTGAGTTTCCCATTAGCACAGCAGCTCCTAACTCGGACCCAGTGCTGAAATCCCCCCCCAGGCTGCTGCTCCTCCGGTCACTGCCCAGCAAAACTGCAGCAGCCTGCCCCGTGCCAGACGTAGGGCTGTGCCACAGGACAGACACAGCACTCCTATTAAACAACTGCAAATTAAATAATACGATCCCTGATACGCACGGAAAGTATTAGAAATTTGACAATTTGAGCAAGGACTTGAGCACGACCTTTAGTTGATTAATAGTATCTTAATGATGATTAAGATCTTCTGTAGGATACAAAAAGGGGCTGTTTTCTGCCGGCAGCTCAAAAAAAAAGTCTCCGCAAAGGCAATTTCTGAGCTCCCTTTTGCTTCACCTGCTGATTCCAAATAACAGCTCTCATATAGGTAGTTCCACATTTTCCATCATTAAATGTGTTCTAAATGACTTTGTGAATGTAAAAAGCTTTTCACAGTATCAAAGGAAATTTATCATATTGACATAATTATCCAGAAAGATGACAGATGAATCATTTCAGCATTTTGTTGAAATGATATACAGTTCTGATGGCTGAAAGACTGTGATGGTGTAAACTTCATCTTTCTTTAACATAAACAGAAACCAAAGCCGCCGTGATTCTCTCTTCAAAGTCAGGAAGACCCTGCCCTGAGACACAAACACTTCTCCTCCTTTTCTCATTCTCAGCACACGCAGTGCTGCTGCACACCAGAACAACTCCCTTCTCTCCTGAAAACTCACATCTGGAAGGATGAGTCTCCTCATATGACCTCAAAAGAAGCATTCCCTGCTATCTTTTAGTCAGGTTTTGGTTTATCATAGAATCATAGAATCACAAGGTTGGAAGTGAGCTACAAGATCATCGAGTCCAACCGTCTCCTCATCACCATTGCCACCACCAGCACTGAACCACATCGCGCAGCACGTTGTCCAGACGCCTCTTGAACACTGCCAGGGACGGCGACTCCACCACCTCCCTGGGCAGCCATTGCAGTGCCTGACCACTGAGAGAAAAAGTTCTTCCTTATGTCTAATCTAAACCTCTTCTGGTACAGCTTGCAGCCATTACCCCGTGCTGCTCGTTGCCTGGGAGAAGAGGCCAAACCCTTCCTCACCACAGCCTCCCTTCAGGAGGTTGCAGAGTGCAGTGAGGTCTCTCCTGAGCCTCCTCTTCTCCACACTGAACTATCCCAGTTTAGGTTTTTTGTCCTAGGCAACGAGCAGAAGTCATAACACTGACATTTCCTGTTGCTGTCAGAAGCACCTGCTGTCTGCCTTACCCCTACAGCACCACTCAAATGAAGGACCTCATTCTCCACAGTCCCCCTAACCTCAGAAATCTACATAACTCTCCTTTTAGCTTTTGCCTCCTTGATCAAGAGTTATGAGTGCAAATGTGGGCGACTGTTTAAAACCCACCCTCTCCCTGACTTGCACTGCACTCGGCATAACATTTTCCTTAGCCCTCCTCCTGTGGGATTCACAAGCAAGGCAGGCAGGGATCGGTGTGGGCAGACCTGCCCCACACACCACAGAACGATGCAACAGATACCTCTATTAACCGGGGCTGCGACGAAACATCTTCATTAGCAAGCAGTGCTACCAACAGTGTTACTGCTCACATGTCTGCTCTCCCAGCTCCATGCAGAGCTGGACGGCACCTCATCATGACTGTGGGTGCACTTTGAACTTCTACTGGTTCTCAAGACTACCAGGACTCCACAGATTTTAAGTATTTTAACAGAAGTTTTGAGCCATTGGTAAAAACGTGGGCTCTGCCAAAACACATCTCATAGACCTCCTGAGCTTCTGCCTGTGTGGGTCCCAAGCAGCCAGGCTCAGGGTAGGACAGGCTGCTCACATGTGCTGCTTGCTGTGCCACTGCCGTGCAGAGCAGTCAGGAGCAGCACAGCCCAGCTCCTGGGCCCCTGCCCTCACTGATCAGAGCCAGACAGGGAGAAGCCAGCCCAGATGACCAGAAGGAAACGAGGGCATAAAGTCTTCTTCTGATGATTCAACTTGTGTTTCAGATTATTTCAGCAGTGCAGGGAGATACGAAGGCTCTTGCACTCCCCTTTAAGCTAGTTTGTGCTATTTTACAAGTTTAATATTCCATGTTTTGCCCATCTTCAAAGGTGCATTTCCTTGACCCAGTGTTAGTCAGTCCTAGCACAAAGCCCACACTACGTAGCCATGGCATGAGGTGATCAGGACAACCAAACTCAGCAACTGCCGTGAATTGCTCCCATGGCTCCTGTCCAGTCTCTCGGGTGCAGGTGTCTCATCTAAAGAGAAGGGCACAGCTACTGCTGGGACACAGTAGAATGCAGGTGACAAAATAACTGTGAAACAGTAACAGCACAATGAAGTCTCATAGGTGCATACTGAGCTTTCATCTTTCTCTTCAAATAAACAGTGTAAAATGCTGTGATAAAAGCAGCAAACACAGAGTCAGTGAAAGAGGGAACGAAAAAGGAATATAAACCAGCAAATCAAACTAATTGACTTCCCAAGCTATCCAGCTCTTTGATCATCCTCTCCCACCTTCTCCCACATACTTGGCAAAAAGAACCTTATTTAAAAAAAAAAAAAAAAAAAATCAACAAAAGCTCTTAGGCAGAATTCATTTCTGAGTGGGAGAGCTGCCCCAGGCTGCACAGAGACCTTCTGACTGCACCGTGCCAGCCCTGCCGCCCCCAGCACAGCTCCCAGCTCCTCCTGCCTGCTCTCACTAACAGCAAACCTCCTCAGGAAACAGAAAACATCACAAATACCTGCCATAAGATGGTCAGAACTGCGCAGTATTGTAAAATACAGCTGTTCACCAAGATGCCAAGAGTTAAAGCACTGCCTCATGGCAACAAAGTACTTTCCTGAAGGCATTTTTCCTGTGTTTTAATTCAGCAGCCACCATCCCACAATAAAAATAATTAATTTCAGCACCAATACCGTTTCAATACGCTGTAAGTACTCAGCAGCAATTACCCGATGAAATGCCGGAGGAATGTCAGAGCTGAGCATCCAAGCCTACCTTGCCAAAGCTTCCCTTCCCAATCGCCCGGAGAATCTGGAAGTGGTCAAAGTTCACTACAAGATAAAGAAAAAAAGAATTTAAATTTGTAAGTGCTTTACTGCAAAGAGCTTGTACTGAAAAATAAAGTGGGGAGCATTGGTTGAGCTGGACTAAAAATCACCACCTTGCCTCACGTGGAAGATGCAGAGCACTGCTTGCTTTTCTTCCAGTGGTCTGTTTTCACCTGCTTGAAGTTGTTAACAAACACCCTGTGCCAGTTTGCTAAGCAAAGCCATGGCAATGTGGAGGGGTCTCACAGAAGCACCACAAACAGGCGTGAGCTCAGAAAGGACAGGGCCAGGACATCAGCACAGCGCCAGCTCTCGCTCCCCTCCTTTCCCCTGCTCCCCACGTCCCTGCTGTGCACATTCAGTGGGTGCTTTATTTGTGCTTTTCAAAGGACAACAATTAGCAGATGGCACTGACTTCCTCACGTGCAAACCCACCTGCACCAGATCTGCTACTTGCTCCATAGCTGCAGTGAGGAGCCACGACAAGAAGGACAAGGCAGACGTAACCCTTCAGTTACTGCCTTTGTCAGCAATTTGCAAACAAAGCTGCTTCCTCTAACCTGTTGCTGTGATCTGATCGAATGCTGGTCTTAACTACATAAAAAATGCCTATTTGTACCAACAGCGAGGCAACTCCCAGTGCAGTATAACCAGAGAGCCTTGCAGACAAATGAAGGAAGAAATACTGTCACAAAAGCCAATACAATGGGCACAGCACCAGTCCTGCGCACAAACTGCCTCCTCATTCCCCGACGCCGGTGCCCCCTGTGACCCTGCCCTGCCAGCCCACCCAGCACCCCATGAGACCCTGCCCTGCTGAAGGAGCCTCCGCTCCTCCGCCTCCCCCTCCAGGAGTGCTGCAGGGTGGGACAGGGAGGCAGCAGCTGCGGGGCTTCCAGCAGGAATGACACACGGATGGGAAGAGCGCGCTGAACAGAGAGCAGGGCAAAAATCACATAGGAAGAGTGGGAGCAAAGAATTCACCATAAATATGCAGAGCCCCACTCCCATACCTCCATAAATGCACATCTGTCATCTCTGAGGATGAATCAAAAGCCTACGCATGCCCGCGGAGTTCCTATTATCCTTTTCTGCTCGGCTTATATCCAAAATATTGTTATTGTCACTTCTGCGGGACATTTTCTGCAGAAGAACTCTGACGATTTTGCCAAACGAAATGGAAAACAGCACATTGGCCGCTGCCTACACAGCCCCCCGCCGGCAGCTCCACCAAGGGCAGCGTGGGAGGCGCCCAGCGGCGGGGCCGCCCCATCCCTCCCGCAGCCCCCCGCACACAGAAGCCATCTCCCCACCTCTGCCACAAGCAGCTGCCCCAGCAGGGCTTGGTGATGTGGGCAGGGGCAGCGGGGGGCAGAACGGGGGCTGCAGCCACACAGCACTGCACTGAGGCTCTCCCACCACCCCAGCAGCAAGCAACACACAGCCAGGCCACAACCCACTAGCGGTACAATGCTGAAATCCAGCCTCCTAGCATGCAGTGCTGAAGCACCGTGGGCAACAGATCCCACATGCAAGCAAATCCATGAATTGAACCAAGAAATACTCAGAGGAAACCCGAGCAGAGCGATCATGCACCAGTGCTCGTGTTGCTTGAGCCCGACAGGACAGTCTGACAATTCTTCAAAACACTGTTTGGAATGCTCGTGTAGAAGAGCGTTTTGCTTAAAAAACAAACCCCAACTGTCATTTCCACGTATCCATGACTACAGCTGATCCAGATTAAGCTCCAGTTGGTAGTCAAGGAATAAATCAAGGTACCAACATTTACCAGGCCCCTGGGCCTGCCAGCAAACATGACCCCGTGAATAAATGTAAGACAGCTCTATTGATCTGAAGTGCACATCTTCCAGTCCCGTTATTTTCTTCAGGAATTAGCAAGCAATCCCGGTAAGTAAAAAGCAAACCTCAACTTTTGAGGGAGGAAAGCACAGGAGCAGCACGTTGCAAATGTTTTTGAGATTGTTGCTGTTTATTCTGTATTTCTTTACGAAATACCCCGAAGTACGACAAGACAAAAAGCACCGTAAAACTTCACACTCAGCAGAGGCTGTGTGCCAACATCAGGGCCTGGCGCCCTTCCTGGGAAAGCAATGACTGCAGCCTGCAGACCTGCACCCAGCACCTCATGTCTGAGGAAGACAGAAAATTACCATCACATCTTCAGGACAGAGCCAACCCGTCACTGCTTATCTGCATGTTTTCCAGCTTCAACAGTAAAACTGGGGAAGACTGAGCCCTGAGAATGACTCTCAGCAGTGCTAGAGACCTCACACTGCATACAGACATGGCTTTCTTTTAACAGCAAAGCTGTAGGACCAGCGCAGCGCTATTAACTTTCTCTGTCAATGCATTTCTATACGTCGGCATAATTCATAGTGTTTGTCTACTCATTACATTACTGCAACCTAGCTCTGGGAGAAAACACCACAGTAATTGATGCAGAAACATTAACACGTGGCCACAGGAACCACAAAGCTTGCTGCCACGGCATGCCAAGAGCTTCAGCCCACAGCCAGGAGCTCACATCGGCCCCACGTCCTACAGCAGAGGGAAGGGCCCTGCAGTCAGAGGGCAGCAAGGGGTGCTGCAGAGAGGTGGGGATGTCCTGAGAGCCACCGAGACACAGGGGGGTCAGCAGATGTTGGGCTGGGGCAGATCTCAGGGCGAGGGCTACAGGCAGACGGGGAAGGAACATGAAGACCTGTAAGGAAGGCAAACACCTCGGTGCAAATGGAGGCCCACGGGAAGCTCCCAAATGGAAGGTAAGTCTGCTGAGAGGGGTGGACAGAGAAGCGGGACCGCGGTGAAAAGTTCTCAAAATGGAGAATAAAAGTGGAAAGATCAGGAAAACCAAAAGTAGGGATTGAGGTCAGATGTGCCTGAAACACAGAGGGGTTTGGCAGGGAGAGGGCTGTGCAGTGCAGTGCAGCAGGGAACAGTGCCAGCTCCACGGCTGCAGCAGCTCCATGGGGGCTGCACGGCACAAAGCTCATGGCAGGGCACAGCGCCCGGCATGCGGGGCTGCTTCACTTATCCACGTCCATGGAGGAGATTACATGGGGGAGAAAGATGGAAATCTGAATAGTGGCTGTCAGGAAACCCAAGGGAGCATTAACTACCCAGGAATTCAGGGAACGCTGGTAGATAATGAAAGAAATTAAAGGTATAATACAAGCCCAGTGCTAGAAATGAAAGTGTTTAGAAACTGAGGATTCAAACATACCATTAGGAAGCAGCTCTGAAATCATGTAAAACCAATAAATCACTGCATGATGAAAAATGAGTCCCTGACTCTGTAAGGAATCAAATATACCATACAAACCAACTGCAAAGATACCTCAGGGAGACTGGATTGCTGACATTGGCCACGAATCCTTCCTAATTAATGAAAAAGTACTGCATATATTCGCTAGGATGCTTCCCAAATGTGTGCCAGTGTTTTACATTCATCTGCTTCTGCACCCACAAGTTCAGGAGGCACTGGAGACAGCTGTAACAGCGCAGCACCTTCTTTGTGGCATCCCATCTCCTTTTGGCATCCTCCATCTCCAGCAGTGTTAATGCTGCTGGATTAATTAACATACTTGGTGACAATAACCCCGAGAGGTAACCTGACTGTTCCTTAGCACCCAGCCGAGCTCCCTGTGGGTGCAGAGGGCTGGATGAGCTCCTGGTGATGCTGGCCAGAAGCAGAGCCCACAGCACATGTTCCCTGCACACACGGTGCCAGGCCGAGCTGCACAGCACTGATGGCACCCCCAGCCCTGCAGCACAGCACAGCACATCCCCAAGGCCTGCAGCACTCACTGCTGTGCCCAGTACACAGTGAAATGAGCAACCAGCGCCTGGGGCCAACACAAAAGACGTTGTTTCTTAGTGCTCAGACATGAAAGTCACTGTAGAAGTCACTGCCTCTCAGCAAATCTCTTGCTGATCCCCGTAACTGGCCTGTGCTACGCTGGTATGGCTCACCTCACAGCTTCCAAGCAACACCAACTCAAGACTGTCCTTTGATGCTGCTCCCCAAAGGAAGGGAAAACTGGATTCATCCGTGACCCATGTAAGTGTGGCGTGATGAGTTGGGCTGCCTCAAACCAGCCGGGAGGCAGCAAGGAGCATCCCATGCAGGGCTGTGCCTGGGGATGCTCTGCTCTCATTGCTCTCTCTGGGTTTGCTCCACACCTGCTGAGCTCTGCTTCCAAACCTGAGCCTTCAGAGGCCTTCCTCTATGTTCCCCCACCACACCACTGACAGCACAACTAAGGAGAGCTCCTGATGGCTGTGTAGAGGCACTTCCTCCAGGCAGGCAGTGTGCAAGGGAAAATCCAATGATTTCTACACGCTGCTTAGCGCATTTCTACAGCTTGCATCTGAAGTGCTATTTTCTCTGTTAGATGCTGCTGAGGATATGCACTTGTCTGTGTATTAAACGCACTATTTCAGGTCTACATACAGAGTAACTATTCTTAAAGATGATGATCGCAGCAACAAAGCCAACACTAACCACTCACTTAGAAGAGTGCTGCTCCTACCATGAGAGCTGGTTGCACGTGTGGCCAAAGAAAGAATGGACGGGGCCACCAAGTTGAGCTGGCTGTGTTCCTGCTGCTGCTGGACACTGAGCTGCTGCCAAGCCCACTGGGCAGCTGTCACCCTGACAGTGCACCAAGGCTGCAGGAGGGCAGAGCTGATGCCACTTGATCATCACTGTTGTATCCGGGCTGAAGGACTCTAGAGGCCCGTGAGGCACAACAGGAGCTTTTATTCCAGCTCCTTGCATGTATCATTGCAACAAACCTGAAATCTGTTTCCTGGGGCAGATGCACATTTCAGAAACTCATGCTGAAGGACATCCAGGCTTGGATGCATGAGGACTCTGAAAGGGAAGGCTGATGTGGCAGAGAGAACAACTGCCTTCACAGCTGCAGCTCTGGGAGGCCTCCGTGAGCGTGAGATAGAGCAAGCTGGACCTGTGGGGATGA